CCCCTCCCTCTGTCACTAGTCACCCACTCCCTCCCTCCCTCTGTCACTGGTCACCCACTCCCTCCCTCCCTCTGTCATCAGTCATCCCCTCACTCTGTCACTAGTAACCCCTTCCTTCCCTCACTCTGCCACTAGTCACCCTTTCCCTCACTCTGCCACTAGTCACCCTTTCCCTCACTCTGTCACTAGTCACCCCCTCACTCTAGTGACAGAGAGGGAGGGTGTGACTAGTGACAGTGAGGAAGGGTGTGACTAGTGACAGTGAGGGAGGGTGTGATTAGTGACAGAGTGAGAGAGGGTGTGACTAGTGGCAGAGAGAGGGAGGGGGTGACTAGTGACAGAGTGAGGGAGGGAAGGGGTGACTAGTGACAAAGGGAGGGATGGGGTGACTAGTGACAGTCACCACCTCCTTCACTCTGTCACTAGTCACCCCCTCCCTCACTCTGTCACTGTGTCACCCCCTTCCTCACTCTTTCACTGTGTCACCCCCTTCCTCACTCTCACTAGTCACTAGTCACGCCCTCTCTCACTCTGTCACTAGCCACCCCCTCTCTCACTCTGTCACCAGTCATCCTCACTCTGCCACTAGTCATCCCTTCCCTCACTCTGTCACCAGTCCTCCCCTCACTCTGTCACCAGTCACCCCTTCCTTCACAGTGACAGAGTTAGGGAGGGAGAGACTAGTGACAGAGAGAGGGATGGGGTGACTATTGACAGAGTGAGGAAGGGGGTGACTAGGCACAGAGGGGGTGATTAGTGACAGAGTGAGTGAGGGGGTGACTAGTGACAGAGTGAGGGAGCGGGTGACACAGTGACAGAGTTAGGGAGGGAGTGACTAGTGACAGAGAGAGGGATGGGGTGACTAGTGACAGTCACGCCCTCCCTCACTCTGTCACTAGTCACTAACTCCCTCTGTCACTAGTCACTCCCTCACTCTGTCACCAGTCATCCCCTCACTCTGTCACCAGTCATCCCCTCACTCTGTCACTAGTCACCTCTTCATTCCCTCACTTTGCCACTAGTCATCTCTTTCCTCCCTCACTCTGCCACTAGTCACCCATTCCCTAACTCTGTCACTAGTCACCCCCTCTCCATCCCTCTGTCACTAGTCACCCACTCCCTCATTCTGTTACCAGTCACCCCCACTCACTGTGTCTCCCCCTCACTCTGCCACCACTCAACCCCTCCCTCCCTCACTCTGCCACCAGGTACCCCCTCACTCTGCCACCTGTCACAACCTCCCACACTCTTCCACCTGTCACCTTCTCCCTCAAACACTCTGTCACCTGTCACATATGCATTCACACAGACACTATATACAAAAAGCACATGTAGTCATCCAGACATGCACAAGTGCATTCACACAGACTCAAATACAAACATGCATTGATACACAGGTCTTCACAATATACACATCCAAAGGAATGCCATATTATGAGTTATATTTAACATTTATTTAATGCACATATATTTGGCCTTCAAAGGGCCTGGGATCTAATTTTGCCCGGGGGCCCCAAAGGCTCTCAGTCCGCCCCTGGTTGTGATCCAAATAAACAAGTGACCAGAAACTGACTGTAAAGTCTTGTCAGCTTGGCAAGAGTTCTGGTCTGTAAAATGCAGTCTTTCTTAGAGCATATAGCTAGGTGTCAAACACTAAAATATACACAGTATAGCTAGAAGCCAGACAGAATAAAACTCCCCATACTGCAAATAGAAAAAGTACTAGTGGGTTACCTTCATGTCTCAAGTTGGACCTAGCTCTCTCTCGCTTTATATAGATATATTACGTTACATATCCCCATACATACCGGTATATCTAATTTGTTGAAGTTTTGCCACTTTTATACCATAATTAGTAGATTTGTTTCCATGATTCCACAGTTTCCTTAGGACATATTATGTAATGTTATATTGTTCCATTGATGACTTTGCTATATATCTATTTTCCCTACAAATGACAAACCCTCCCTTCTCCATGACTACCATCAATTTTAATGCGTGAAACATTTTGATATTACTGAAAAGGTACAATATGAGGCTGATGCAACAAATAATCTGCTCTGAGTATACTGCATCAATAAATGTATCCATTTAGCATAGAATTTGATGAAAGCAACTCTTTAAGCTTTTTGCAATTATTTTATTAAATGGGTCTCTCTCCATGGTTTATGGCTATACTCTGTAACAATTTAGAGATGGAAACGTATCATTTACATGAACTCTTTGTATGCTTTATGTTGTTGTCAGATTTCTATTTACATAATTATAAAATAGACATCCTCATTCCCGAGGGTCATTATTATTGAAATTAATTATGATGCAGGCGTTAACATGCATTTTAAATCGCGGAAACATTATATTGTCAGAAAACAAGACAAATGCACATTAGTGAGTGATAACCAAAAGCCCAGCCGACCTTTGTGTGACCTGTGAGGCTATTAACAATGACAACATGTGTATATTCCTTCACCGGCTTACGAGGCTTATTAAAAGTCAGCTAGGTTATGCTCTAGAGATTTGATTTTGCTAATAATTAGTAAGATCCCCATAACTGTTGTTCCCCTTTGGATATCAATAGCTGCCAGTGTTGTTGTTGTTGTTCAAATTAGATCATGATCTCCTCAATTCAGTTTTTTTGCCAAAGGTCACCTTATATTTTCTTGTTAACATTGAAAGTATTGTTTTAGAATGATAGATAGATAGATAGATCAATAGATAGATAGATAGATAGATAGATAGATAAATAGCTAGATAGATAGTCAGATAGATGGATAGATGATAGATAGATCGATCGATAGATAGTCAGATAGATAGATAGATAGTCAGATAGATAGATAGATAGATCGATAGATGATAGATAGATAGATCAATAGATAGATGATATATAGATAAATAGATAGATAAATAGATGATAGATAGATCGATAGATAGATGATAGATAGATAGATAGATAGATTGATAGATCGATTGATAGATGATAGATAGATCGATAGATAGATGATATATAGATAAATAGATAGATAGATGATAGATAGACAGATAGATAGACAGATAGATAGATATTGCAAGTATAATTTTAGTTATGTCTAATTGCTCAATCAAATCTCCATCTAAATCTATGTAGCACAATCTTGTAACACTTCTTTATATTGCTCTGTCAGGATAAAAGACACTCATTAGGTTATTCTCACTTGTTTAAAACACATGAAACAGGTAATAATTGTTAAAAAAAAATGTTTTAGTCTGCAAGCTGTCCTCAAACAATCATCCACATGGCTATCAACAATTATATCAGCAACAACCTTTTGACTATACATGTAAGACATACAACATCAAGGGTATTCCGTACAAATAGATTCAATCCCGGTTCATGAAAATATACATTCTATGAAGCACTTTAAAGTAGCTATCTTTTCTGTCACAGATTTGTGATATCTGCATGTAAATAGGTATAACTTTTGCATTTCATGTTCATGTCAACACTATTTTACTTTCAATTTTATTTGTAGTTATTCTTAATGTATTATTTATATTTTTGAGGATTGAGCATGGCTAAAAATTTAGCAAGAATACATGGAAAAGATTTACCTATTTAATTTACACTTTATTTTTAGCATGTTTGGTCATTTTTTAGGACTTGGATTAATTCATCAATAAATAATGAACAAGTATTTATAGTCATTGTATAGGGTTCACTTAGAAATCTTAATTTCTGCATTGAGCGCTTGATTACAATAAAAACTTTGAGGTAGGGTAATTTCATCATTTATGGTGACCTTAATTGTGTTCCAGATCCATCAATGGGCATATAACTCAATACATCTGGAAACCTATCAAGAAACACATTTTTTCCAGTAAGGGATTTTTATATGTCAAAATACAAACTATAAGACAGACAGAGAGATCTCTAACAAAGAGAAGTACAATTCTTGAAGTCAGCAAGTATGATGATGTTCATTCAATAAAATGCTTCTCATATAAAGGCACTGAGGACACATGGTACATACGTGGAAACAAACCCTGATTGCAAATTCAGGGTTTTTCAACACGAACTTGTAAATCCAATGCTTCTCATAGGAAAGTACTGGTTGTACACAGCATTTCTATGTGACCGCAACTAGAATGTGTGGAAAGTGCAAAATGTAAACACTGTCATTTATAAGAAATGGTTTATTTTCAACTGCAAGACTGCATTTATGCCCCAAAATCACTTAATTAAGATGGAGTGACTGTATTGTTTAGAATGTTCATTTAAATAACTGTAGTCAAACATGCATCAGTAGTTACAGTTTCTGTTTTACTATATAATACTTGCACTGTACAACTAGGCAAAATACCCTAAAGGATTGTTAAACATATTACTTTATTACATCCCTTATGGCACTGTATAATGCATATAATAACAACAGTAACCTTAAAAAATCTATTCAATTTAGACATTTATAAATTTTAGTCTTAACACACATTTTATAATTCAAGATATATAAATGTAATCACCCACAAGATCAATCAGCCATTAGGGTTGAACAGATGAGAACTGCAAATTCAGCCACGTATAAAACCTATACAAACTTTGCAAGTGAATGCAATACAATAATCTAAATGCCATTAAAGGAAAATAAAGTTGCTATGGTGCAGGAAGGTTCCAGCTTACCTTCAGGGGTTTAACCCTAAATCCTTCTATTCTGGTGATCTCTGCCCCCTCCAAATCAGTCGTCAGAGTGTGATGGGTTGAAACAGAAAGTGTTGGACTTGTTGCCACTGATCAGTAGCTCACCATTTACAAAAAACTTGAGAACAACTTGAGAAAAATATTTACATTTCTTAATTTGTCAGGAGCCCACACATTTTTTGATTGACATCTAGTTTAGTTTGCTTTCCCACATTACAAATACACGGTAAGTGTAAACAATGTGAATAGGTTGTAAAATACAATCTGTATACTTTCCTGTTTTTTATTATATTTACATGTGAACTGGGGTTATGATACATGAGCAACTTATCTTTTTTTTTAATGTGCAGTCTTACCTTTAAATTTGCTTAGTCTTAAATACATGTCAAATACATTAATAATTTTTCTATATATCACTCCTTGTTCTATTCCAGTCAGCTGTCACACAGCCCTTCAATTCAGGTTCCACATACTCACCAGTCCTACTTTGTAATACCAGTCAGTCATAGATTCCAATAGGTTACTTTTTTTTAGGAAGTTGTTCATGACATGTGAGTCAACACCGGGGTTTTTGTGTTATAACAATATGCATTAAATGTTGATTTTGAATTAGTGCAATGGTCTTAAAGCTGCAGCTATCATTATCCACTACCAGCATATCATAGTAGTTACATTATATCACAAAAAGAAACAAGATCACCACCATATTACTGTAAGGGAGGTTTAAAAATTCCATATGCCCCCAATTACCATGGTGGGGAAATATCTGCTAAATGTTTAAGACCAGTGCTTTGAAGCAATAGCATTGGGATTTCTGCTGCTAAAGTAAGTATGGGTAGATACTTAACCTACGTATGTGATCCAGTCAGTAGATGACAGGTATATAATTAAATTGGCTCCACATTACTCCATTCAATACTACAATAATTTGTTGTTTCAGAAACTGGAGGAAATTCCACAGTTAATTCATGCCATAAATAAGAAAATGTATTAGAGAATTCATTTAAATAAACAATATTATTATTTATTTATTTTAACCCTCCTGTAGGGAAAATCATTGTAACTTTACAAATTTAGTGATATTTAATTCATATACAATTTGAATAGATTAATGAATAGATGAATAGATTATTTAAGAAATAACTTATTAATTATTTGCCTGCATATTTTATTATCATGCAGGAATTCTTATTCATTATGTGTGTTCAAAACATATAATTGTTGAAAGTCTTTTTTTGAAAGTACTTTTATTAAAACTACGCACATAAACACAGTCTTATATTTACACATATAATGACGGCTTCTCAATGTATTTTT